GCTGTCAGCATCAGCTTGTAGATGGTATTTTAAACTCGATGAGCTCTGAAACTACGGGGCGGCCGAGGACAAAAAATACACATTAAGTTAACGCGTTAACTTGACAGCCCTAATATTTATACGTTTCTGTTTTCAAAATACCAAACAGATCATGCATTTTAGCCATGCCTCATTTCGCTCTATGTGCCGTTTGCTGTCTACGGGGCTGATTCTGTGAGCTGCAGCTGACCACGCCCCCCTGCAGGAGAGGGGAGCCGTGCTCTGATCAAGTCCAAGAGGGGGAGAAAAAAAGATCTCCGTCCTCCGTGTTTTATTATATTATTATAGGCCTATAGAGTCGTTATTCATTTGTTTTAAAGCTCAATAAATAACAAAGAAGACCTTTGACCGGCACTTTTCTAATTTTGTCCGGAAGATTTAAACTTTAATGGACATCTTGACCGGCGAAAGAAACTGAAAATCTGCCGCACGGTCCCCTCGTTCCTTGGAAGAGGCGGAGAGGTGGGTGTTTGTCATCTGCTGGTGGACTAACCGGAGAGAATTACAGTGCTTGCCTCGACGGGGAGGGATTGCATTGACTTAAAGCAGCGGAGAATAAACAGAAGGGTAACCATGGTAACTATGGGCGGGAAGTCTTCTTCGCTGCTTTTGTGGCAGACTACAGCACCACTTACAGGCCTGTAGCTTTCGAGCGGCAATGGGCCGGCCGTGGCCCAACCCCACATTCCCCTGATAGGTGGAGAGTTGGCCCAATAGCCGTAGCGCCACTTCTGTGACGTCAGTGAAGTGTTCAAATCTGGATCAGTTTTTATCAGATCCGTTGCAGCCCCTTTTTTTTTAGATTTGGGTATGGAGGAAAATAGAGAGGGTTGTGTTTTCTGACACTTGGTGAGTTCCCTGGAACACCGGGGACACATATTCATGTATAAAAGACATACAAAAGTGCATTTTGCATGATAGGTCCCCTTTAATGCTGCATGCGTTTTTGAAATAAGTGTTGTGTGTAATATTGTACTTTACCAATAAAGAACCATGTGAATTTAACTGGGGATGTGCAAATAGATCAGTCCATCTGGGTGAAGAGATGGAGGGTTGAAAGTGGAGAAAAGGGAGGGCGGAGTGGAAAACAATGCTGCTGCCTGATCATAGTGTCACCCTCTAAGGCATTTGCCGATGGAAACTAACTCGCTCACAGATTCATGCCCTGTCATTGGTTGATGGCTTTGGCCCAGGAAACACAGACACACACAAACTGACTCAGTACATTTATTTCCTGCTCTCTGTCCCTCTTTGTTTCATTGTCTTCTTCCTCTGTCCCTCTCCATCTTGGCCCGGGTTCCTGTCTGTCTCCTCGGCGTCTCTGTTCTCCCTGTTGGCACTCTCTCTACAATGTTTGGCTTGCTTGTACTGAGTGATGTCTTCATTGCAAAAGATCAGCGTCTGTTCCTCTACACCCCCCAAAACCAAATCCTCCCTTTATACCATCCTCCAATTGCTTTTTGAAACTGTGTCCTTTTACTCAGCCAGACTTTTCCCCCAGTTAGGGTTAATTTGGTAACTGTCTGTCCCAGCACAGGCCACGTTTGTGATTTTAGGGTTAGGGTTAGGGTTAGGACAACTTCCTTGGGCAACTTCCCACTAGACTAGGTTTGGTTTAATAGAAAGGGAGAGGGTGAGGGATGCCCTTGGGTGGGGAGGTGGGAAATATAGCAATGGTGCAGTATGAGGACAGGGCAAGGAGAGTGAAAGAGGTAATTACGTTATTTAACAGCTCAGGAAACTGCAATACGGTGGTGATAGGTGATTGAGTGTGTGTGTGTGTGTGTGTGTGTGTGTGTGTGAGTGTGTGTGGGCGTAAGGGAAATCCTGCAGGGCTTTCTCTTCTCGTTCCCTGCTAGGCCAGCAAAAATGGGGAGGGAGGGACTACAGCAGTTCTGCCTACAATCACAGAATCCCTCTATCATTTAACATTTGCCCTCTCAGGGGAATGCTGGCTGCTCCGGGGGCTGAGGCTGTTGCTCTGCTGTCATCTCAGTTTAATTTAAACCTTGTATTACAAACAGGAGGGGAATTCTTCTTTCTTTTCTTTTTTTTCTTTTTTACAGCTGTGTTGGCAGTTAATCATTGGGACTGCTCTTAGTAATTCCTCACCAGTCCGGTCTATTGTTGCTAATAGAATACAACTCTAAGCTAGCAGTGTAAGAGATTAACCTAGTTTGCTAATCAGACTGAATTGGCGTTTTGTTTTAAAAAAAAATCGGACATTTTGTTAATGTGCTAACAATTGGAAGACGATGTCCCCGTTCTTTCTACAGTTAGCAAAGACTATTGCAAGGGTTCAGGGGTGAGTTCTGGATACTATTCAGGGAGTAATCAAAAACCCTGACGTGTTTGTAATGACTCCAATTGTGTGATGGACCCATACCTAGCGGTGTAGAACATCAGAAAGCAATCCATTTAGCTGATGCCGTGTTCCAGATACAGTGTGATTCAGTAATTCACTTTCACGTCACCACGTCTTTGGCCAAAGCTGATGGGAATCTTGCCATGCTGCCAGCTAATCACCAGTGTTATTCAGCTGGGCATTCATAAATAAGCCCTCACAGAAGGAGAGAGTAGAACAGAGAAGGTATCTAAACTAAATAAATATTTGGTAACAAAGCATGACTAACATCAACCTTACCATGAACTTATCGCTCAGATCCCAAGTATTCATTGTTTATTTGTATTACCGATTGCCAGAAAATGCAGTTTCCTGTTAAAGATCCGTTTTTTTTACATAAACCACATCTCATGGTCTTCACCCGACGATTGACTGTTCTCAGTTGCAGTCGTGTTGCCATCAACATCATCACAATGACAATGCTTGCATACTGATGTTTAAATGCATATTGTTTACCATGTCCTCCATCTCAGTTTAGCATGTTATTATGCAACCATTAGCAAATTAGCACCAACACAGCTGAGGGTCATGGGATTTTGTATATCATATTGGTGCTGGGGGAAAAGGACATGATTGACATCTGTAGCGAATACAATTTGCTAATTATTATCCCCATTTCTGATTGACCTCCTTCTATAGTTGTACAATCGTTGGCTTTTCAACAACCTGTCTGATCTGATCTAGTTCCATACTCTGTTGAAGAGGAGTGTGCAGTGTGTTTGATAAGAGTGTGTTCGTCTGACTGACTGATGCAGATGTATGGATGATGTGACGGCAGTGAGGCAAAGTCCCGACTGACTCAGACAGTGTCACGGCATCTATACGTCCTTGTCATAGCAGAAAGCACAGCACTGACAACCTGGCTTAGTTTGTCTCTTCAAGCCAACATCACATCACAGAAGGTGGGGTGGGGCGGGAGAGTAGGAGGTTGGAGTTGTGGGGCCACCCTGCTCTGACCCGGCTCAGTTTGGTACCGGAGAAGTGACAGAGAGAATAGGGGAGGTAGAAGCGACTTTGTACGTCGAAAGGAGGGACTGAGTGACAGAGGGGGAGGAGAAAAGGGAGGGAGAAAGAAGAGCAAAGGGGAGGGTTTAGGGAAATAGATTTGAGAGAGTGAGGCGAGGGAGTGTGTGCGAGGGAGAGAGAGAGAGGGAGGGAGAGCATGTGAAGCACGCTGCCAGCCCTCACTCAGTAATGCACTGTGAACAGGGAGCAAGTCACACACACATACGCACACACACACACACACACACGAGTACATGCTGCCTCCGTCACACACCCTCACACCCGTACACTTTCACACTGTGTCGCTCCTTCTTACACACACATGTACACACTCCCTGACACGTGTGCGCTGAGGTAGAGGAGACACACACTTTCTCTTCTCACACACACACACTGACTCAACAGAACCAGACCGGACTACTGTCACCCACCGGTGGAGACTCTGGCAGGAGGAGCAGCATCTATCGTAAGGCATGGCTACCTGTCACCTCTCTATTCCCCTTCACCTCACCTCTTTTCCCTCCATTCATTCATCCCTCTTTTCTCCCAGCTGCGAGGAAGCATGCATGGCTGAAGGACACAGACTCTGCTGTGGTGTCGCGCGCTGCCTAGAGAGTTGGAGAGTCCGATCCGATAGGGGGGATATATAGACTCTCCCTCCCTCCCTTTCCCCCTCATTTTTTCTGTGTCCCTTTCGGTCTCTCTATACCGTCGCTCTCTGAATGTCACCTCTATCTCTGGGAAATGCTGGATTTGTCAAGCTCCCTGTCTTTTTTTCCCTTCTTTTCTCAGGGTGCGGGTGAACGCAAGGGTGATGCCTGAAGAGCTTGAGAGACAGCGCGGAAACAAGATGCACTTCGTCCAGCGGGGTCCATCTGCACCCCTTCCTCCTCGTCCCAGCTCCAAAAGCTGATACCTCAGGTCGGACAGTCTCTACTTCTACTTCTCGTGCTCTGACATTGTTTTGCTTGGAGAAATTGTACAGGTTGGGGGACAGAAGGAAAAGGAGCACTGTCACTCCTGTTATTTTGGAGCGTTGACATCCGGGCGTCCCACCGAATAGGTGCAGGCGTCTTAACTGCAGGACTGAGCAGGTATTTCATTTTTTCTGCTTTCGTCACGAAGCGAATGGTTCTATCGGACGGGGTTAAGTTGAACTTGATTAGAGCTCCAGGAGGAGAGTCGATTGGACAAGGACATATTGGTGGGCTACACTGCAATGGATTTGGGTGGATGACATGACCGGTCCTAAAAGAAGTACAGTGATTTGTAATAAGCTTCACCTGATCTTCACTTCCTAAAAGAAACTAGAAAGACTAGAAGGCAAACCTTCATCAATCCAACCTCAAAAAGCACCCATTTTCAGTTTTGGGTGGGCCTTTGTGGTATCCACCCCTATTTCCCCCATCTCCTCTTTTTGTGCCCTTCTCCCCGTGATACGGTCCTTCCTCAGAAGCCCACTCCACCGATCTACACTGCTCCCTCAGCGGTGCTCCGTCGCCCTGGGTGAGCGGGCAGGGGGGTGGCCCACGGTACCCCCCGACACCTGGGCGCCACCGAGCCGCCAGAGGCTGGTGAGGCGGCTGCAGGGTCAGCGCTGGGAAGATGGCCGCTCTAGCCAGCTCCCTAATTCGCCAGCGCAGGGAGGTCAAGGACCCCCAGGCGAACCGGCCGATCGCCAGCAAGCGCAAGCCCTGCCCAAAGAGCAACAAGTCGCTCTGCCAGAAGCAAATTCTAATATTAATATCGAAAGTTCGACTATGTGGCAGTCGAGGGAGAAAAATGGAAAAAAGACCAGGTGAGTTCCCAAAAGGCCTTCCTATTAAACTCTTTCCATTTTCTTCCTCTTCACTTCACCTTCTTTGCTCCATTTTCTGCCTGTACTGAATAACTGGATTTTGATGGTTAAGTTGCCAGACTACTGATTAATCCTCAACTGTAAAGCTTCAATCGAGAACATCCACAGTTTTTGATTTCCAGTGCCGGACTTAATCTGAATCTGGGAAACATCCCAGCCAATCTTACTGGTAGCTGGACACATCATGTCCTGTATTTATGGTTGTAAAGCAATTGGAGTCAAATCCAGCTTAATGCACACAGATTTAGACCACGGACCAAAGGCATAACCTCGGCCATGTTGTGACTGTTGAGATGACTCTGTTCATGTCAACACATCCACCACGCGCTGGTAATCTGCGAGCACACAACAAACTTGGCTCATACATACGGTGATTTACTGTGATATAAAAATGTCAGGAGGCGTCTCATTTGCAATTCTGGGGGGCCATTACTCTCCCTGTTGTTCCCCCAAGGCAAGTGGAGCACAGTGCGGCCTAATTTGTCTTGTGTGTTTGCATGTTAAATATTATTGCAAAATTATTCAATGAAGCTAAATGAGACAGTGACTGTTTATGTTTGCGATGAGTGTGTCTGTGCTACAAATGGAGAAGGTTTTTGACATTACGAGGCAAAGATACATTATTATTATTCTATAGTGTTGAACATCTGTATCCATATGATAGCAATATGTTGATTCCTTATTTTGTCAGACTTTCTGTGGTCTTGCCAAAACCTTTTTGATCTATTCTGCAATACACTTCAAAATGTATATAAGGAAAGGCAGGACTGAACACTTACACTGTCCAATGTACATTTGGCAATTTGTCCATGGACAAAATGTACTTTTGTAGGTCAGACCACCTTGGTGCCAATGTTTGATTTTAGGTTTGTACCCTTAGTAAGATAGTTTGATCAATTGTCTTTATCAAAAGCTGAAAGTTGCATTTTTTGTCTTGGGATGCATTTTCTGTTTTCTTTGGAGGAAGTTACTTTTTTATTTGTGTTTCTTCAAAGCAATTACACTTTAAAAAGCCTTATTTTGTCTTGTAATTTTTTTGGGGTATTTATAAATGACCCCCCATTTATTTAATTGTTTTTGATATTTATACATTAACACATAACCTTTATTTTTTTTAAAGATTGTTTTTGTTAATAAAAAAAAAGCTTTATTTTTCATCTTTGATAACTCTATATATCTTCACGTGTTTGTTCCATGAAAGTGCTCACCTCAGCTGTCTACAGTTTGTGTGTTCCTTTCCCCACATCTACCTTCCTTGCACGTCCATGCAGAGAAAGTGTGTGTCCTTCTCTGCACTGTGCCAGTGTGCTTGTGTGTTCTGTGATATTTATTACCTCACTGTGCCAAGTTCATCATTGTAATTACGTGGGGAACCTCTAACGGAAGCAGCATCTGCCATAGAGGCGGCTGCTCTCTATATTGTAATTACCGTAGTAAAGTATGTCGGACGGGTCGTGGCAGTGCCAGCTCTTTGGGAAAAGACCAAGCGTGCGCCATGTCCATCGTTGGAAACCATTTCCATCCCATTGGGTTCAGTGTTTCTCACACTCTGATGGGTTTATTATAGTAATCGCCTGGACAAGGTATGGAGGCTTTGGTTAGAGACGCATTACCAGCTTTACCATTTCAGGGTTGTGATTTACAACTGTCTTAAGTGCCATGTGTAGCAGTGTGTATTTTCCTCATTCTCTACATGTGTGTGGTCAGTGTAGAAAGGACACTACTGACCCCTGGCCATGAGTGTGTCTAGCTGGTGTATGTTAGTGTGTATTCTGTGCGAGTTTCCTTTTCTGAGCTTCAGCCCGAGGCCACAGTCGACCCCTGGCCAGAAATAAACGACTAGAATATTCCTGAGCCGCAGCCTCGCCGCCTCCTCCTCCTCTTCCTCATCTTGGCATCCCTTCAGAGCTGCCTGTTTACAGCTTGCATTCACTTTGGCTTCCATTGTTTCTGCTGGCATTATTTGGATGATATTGGCTTATTCTGCACCCTGTGGCTTTTAGTGCCTTGCATTGTCTTGTATTTTGGTTGGTGCCCATTGTTCTCCCATGGCTTCCATTGTCCCATTGGCTTTCTATTGACTCTGTTGCCTTTTTTTGGCTTCTATTGACTTTTATCAAGCCAGTGTTTCCCACACTTTGACTTTACTTGGATGGGCAGCCCAGCTATATTAACTTCCGCCAAACCATATTCTGCTCACTTCATCTGGTATGAGCGATGGACAATGGTGGAATTCACTGCCCTCGTTTGACTGGTTTTATTGACACATTACACCCACAGAGTTCAAATCATTCCCATGCAGAGCCCACAGTGAATGATTTATATAAAATCTTGTAAGCCATTTTACTGCTGTATATCCTAACCCTAACCCAGTCCCCACAAATGTGACCACCACAATCTTAAATGTCCTCCGTCAGATGCCAACGAGAAAAGCCAAAGAATCTCAAATATTCATTTTACATATTTGACAATAAACAGCAGAGATGATGACAAAAAAAATCCACCCAGATTTGACAACAGTTTGACATATCACAGTATCAGTACTTGTACAAGCTTGTAATTTATAATCCAAGATGATCAACACATTTTTTACTGTGACTCACCGGGTGAGCGTGTCAATATTATGGATGCAGCCATTAACGTTCATTGTTATGTTTGCAGCTTGCTTGAATGTCAAATGACATCCACGACAACATATACAGTAGTCACGCCCAAGTCAGTAGCTGTTTTCTACTGTTCCCAGGCAGGCAGAAAACACTCAAACTGCACAGCACCAGAGCAACATGATCACCATCATCAGGAGGAGGTTTTATGGAAAGTGTCGACTGGAAGTGAATAATCTTCTTTGTATAAATCGACTTATTAATTAGTTGACCAAATGTTGCAACAATAACCAAGAATACTCCACTTTTATGGAAAAGATGAAATCTGAAGTTTAATTATTTTTTTGTATATTTTGCTTTATCCCATCTTTCCAGACTCACCGACATATTTCACCAAATGTTTGTCCCTATTTGAAGTCCAGTATATTGTGACACTTTCCACAGATAAGTTAATGACACCTCAAACAGACATGATGTGTGTTTGTGTGTGTGTTGATGTCGTTACCATGCATTTAAATGTCTTGTTATGCAACACTGCATTGTGAGCATCTCCCCTTGTACTGCTGAAGGTCATTTAAGGCCACTGTTAAAGTGTAGGAGTTGTGTCCTCAAAAATGTGATACCTGATTCTAAGTGATGAATGGAGAGGTGTGACGAGTGTTTGCGTGTCCTGACCCGACCCAAATACCTCCCCCCCTCCCTTTACTTCCTCTGTTACGGTGTCAAACCACATCTCTCCCCACTCTGTCACCCGTCACCTCTACAGACACGCGCCCTCTAACCCTCACCTAACCCATACTAATGATGCACTACAGCCCACTCAGCTTATAACAAGGTCAGCTTGCCCCTGCACGAACACACACACACACACACAGACTTTCAAGTGCAGAATACGGAAGAACACCCTTAATTACTCACACATAAAAATACACCTACGCACAGAAGAACTAATAAATCAACACAAACGAATGATGAGATTTGGTGATAATTTAAGCAGCGAGTGTGGGAGAGAGATCATTTCGCCCTGGCGCGTGTGTCCGCCACTGATATGATCTAATGAGGATGTTAAGCCGCCTATTGGATATCAAAGCGAAAACCAAAATAGCTCGTGTTGTCCTCTGAGCGGCTGTGGAAGCCCCTTCTCTGTTCTGTTAACAGGATAGAATAACACTCAGAGTTGTTACTGTAGCGCGGGGGCCAAGTGTTCATCCAGCCACTGCAAATTGGTTTGTGCGAAAATACGACAAATGACAGATTTTAAATGCAATTTTGGGGGGGAATTGGGTCAAATTTCTGCCAGATTGATTGGCTTTTGATGCTCAGTTTGAAAGGGGTGGTAACGCCTGATTAATTGCCTTAATGATCAATGATCTGCTAACCACACAATCTGAATTTCGCTCAGCTATCTTGCACTATGAGCAGTTTCGCTTGGTCCGTCTTTTTTCGTGGCTGAAGTTATATTTTAAAATGTGTGGCTCTAGCTTCCTGATCTCCTCTGTTCTGTTAACAGGATAGAATAACACTGAGTTGTTACTGCAGCGCGGGGGCCAAGTGTTCATCCAGCCACTGCAAATTGCTGTGTGTGTAGCTCATTGTTGTGCCGTGATTCATCAGGCCACATCAGCTCCTCTCATTAACACACAATGATTTATCAATAATGTGCGGCAGCGTTTGGAGAGCACACATTGAGCCGGGCCGATTTACTGCCTCGTAGACCGGACACTCTAGACAAGCTACACCAGAGAGGACTATATTTCTCCCACTCTCTCTCTGTTTGCGTCTCTTTATCAGCTTTCTCCCTCGCTTTGCGTCCTGTTTTCGCCTCCTCCCTTTCTCCCATGGCCCCCGTCCCCCCTCCACACCACCCACTTATCTTCTCAAGGACATCTGGCTTTCTTATAACTGTCTCTCCCTCAGTGTCTCGCTCTTCACTCGCCGTATTTCCCCATTGTGTCTAATCATGTTGTCTCTGGGCCAGTCAGTTAGTCACTGTATGCTACAATGGCATAGATACTGGAGGTATTGTGCTGCCATGTTACGTAACCCCGCTTCTTTTGTTAATGGATCAGGACTGATGCATGATGCACGTCTAATGTATGGAAAATAATTGTTTGCTACTGTTATCCCCCCCTCTTGGTGTACTGTATATGTGATGCAGATATATGGAGGGTGTAGGTTTGCTTAGGTAGACAATTTGTATAAATATAACAAATAACTCATGATGAAATTGTTTTTTCCTTAATATTCTGTCAATGCAGCTAAAGCCATAGGTAGAGATTGACCTGATTTTAAATCAAGTTTTGGGGGAATTGGGTCAAAATTCTAGCAGATTGATTG